TCAACTGGATATATGTTCCCATAATTTATTTCCTAACTCAAATCTTCAATAATAGCTCTATCCTGTGAAATGGTAACCAAAAGACGTAGCTACATTACTATTGCTCCACATAGTTATAGGCAGAGCTTCCATCTGTTCATCCCATTTTGAGGACACAGACCACTCTCAGAAGTATATGTATATGCTACTGGGTTGGCTATTGTCCTGTTTACTTCTTGGTTATTCAAAAGAGGAGATTTTAGCAAACAGAATCCTTCACCCAAGGGGCATCTGAGTCAGAGCTAAGAGAGAATAATATTCTCTTGCTTTACACTTCTCTTAAGGCACCAAAATTATATTAGATTTTCCCTTTTGTAACACCCATTTATTAGCTACTCTCCCCTCAGCAAAAATTTCACCTTTCTTCCATTTATCGTTAATTTAAATCCAAACCTTTCTCCCTAGTGTAGGTCCCTTTGGTTAAGTCACTGGGCCGGTCTATGTGACTGGTAGCAAGATGAGCTGTTCCAGGGTTTCCCCTTTGTTTCATTCCCAATTGTAGGGGGTCAGAATGGATAAATACAGAAAAATGGGATTACTCGTTCCATAAGCCAACAAACATTTGCACCGTCAGCCCCACTTGGCAAGGTGCTAGGAACAAATAATTCATTCCATCCTTTCTTTGGAATTTTGGCATTTAGATTCAGATCAATATATGTTTTACCTTATTTTAGAATATTGCCAGACTTTGGGATCCTTAATAGTAGCCCTAGTTTTAAGGACTATCTGATCCATCATTGAGCAAGAATATTGTGGTGAAGTAGGGGAGACTTGAACATTCCGGTACCATCCCTTCTCCTTTCCCCTTACTTCCATCACAAAAGTGTTATCATCTGCCTGTGGAAACCTGGTTTTAGTCCCCCTCACCTTATATTGCCAAACGGTGCCGGAGATTTGCGGGCTAGTTCTTTGATTCTTTGTCATGCCCATCTTCTTAAGCAGGTGTGTTAGTTATCCATTCCAATTTTCTACTAACCCACTACTTTGAAAGTGATAAATAAAATAAGTCCATTGAATGTGATATTATTTCACTTGCTATTGCCTGCACCGGCAGTGACCTGAAGGGCTGTAGCTAGGAAGGTCTAAGTCACGAGAAGTTTCTATCAAGTTTGAGGTAAGGGGAATGGGATAGAGTGGGGAGAGACCTCAGCTTGCCTCTTGGTTCCTCAGTCTCTGTCCTTTCGGAGACTACGACTTTCTGAAACAGATGTAGGTTCCAAACTCATAGGTATTCGCCATTTTATTACCCATTCCTGTTCTTGGTTTGAAGTGGGTACCTAGTGAATACATATTAACTGGAATTGTCCAGCAAGGGAGCTCCAGGCTCAAGTTATGGTTAGCAAGTGAGAAACAATAGTTTTTTCCTTCCAGTGGAATGATAAAGAAGGAGGAAATGTAACCAATTCTTTTTTCTCTTCACTTTAATCAATTTAAAAGCATTGCAAATGAAATTAATAAACTATAGAGGAGTGGAATATAAAAATTTCTTTATAATTTAATTGTACCATATAGAATAAATATGTATGAAATATTTTTCTATAATTGTTGACTGTACCGTTTCATTTATAAAATGCAAAAATGGGCAAGGTTAATTTGTGATTATAGGTGTCATGATAGTGCTTACCCTAAGGGTCAAGTGACTAGATAAGGGAACTTTTGAGGTACTCATTTCTTAATTTGGATGGTGGTTACATGAGTATTTCAATTTGTAAAAATGAATCAATTATATATTTCTGGTTTGTGTACTTCATACATTTATGATTTACGTACTTTTGATGTATCATACTTAAATAAAAAGTAACAAAATGAAATGAAACAGAAGTTTCACTCTAGCAGCTCACTTCTATTAGGAGAGAAAAGCAAGAAAATCTCCATTTCTGCCGCTCTTCATTTCTTTGTGTCGATTCATATTTCCATTTGGTATCATTTTCCTCTGCCTGAAGAACTTCCTTTCACAATTCTTGTAGTGCTAGTTTGCTGGTGATGAATGTTTTCAGCTTTTAAATATGTGAAAATTCCTTTATTTTGTCTTTGTTTTCGAAATTTATTTTTACTAGGGGTAGAGTTCTAGGCTGACAATTTCTTTCTTTCAGCACTTCAGTGGTATTGGACCACTATCCTCCTGCTTACATTGCTTCTGAGGAGAAATCTGCTGTCCTCCGTATCCTTTTTATTTTGTATGTAATTCTTCCCCCGTCTGGCTGCTCTGGAGATTTTGTTTTTTTTTAACACTAACATTGAGCAGTTTGATTTGATGTGCTTTGTGTACTTTTCTTCCTGTTCCTTGTGTTTAAAGTTCATTGAGCTTCTTGGGGTTATAGTTTTCATTAAAATTTGGAAGCTTTTGGCCATTATTTCTTCAAGTATTTTTTTTCTTTTCTCTCCTCTCTCCTTTCCTTCAGGGACTCTATTAGATATTGAAGTTTTCCGACAGCTTAATGATGTGATGTTAATTTTCTAAAATTCTTTTTTATCTCTGTGTTTTATTTTGGGTAGTTTATATTGATATATATTCAAGTTCACTAATCTTTTCTTCTGCAATTTCTAATCTGCCATTAATCCTTTCTAATGTATTTTTAGTTCAAACATTCTAGTTTTCGTTTCCAGAAGTTTGATTTGGCTCTTTTAAAAAATATCTTCTATATCTTTATATATCTGTTTGAAAATATGGAATACAGCTATAACAACTGCTTTAATGTCCTTGTCTGTTAATTCTAATATCTGTGTCAATTCTGGGTGGCTTCAACTGATTAATTTTTTTGTGCATTAGGCTCATATTTGCCTGCTTCTTGGCATGCCTGATAATATTTTATTGGATTCCAGACATTAATTTTACCTTGTTGGGGACTGGATATTTTCATGTTCTATAAATGTTCTTGAGCTGTGTTCAGAGCTGCAGTTAAGTTACTTAGAAACAGGTTTATCCTTTCAGGGTTTGCTTTTAATATTTGTGAGGCAGGATCCAAGCAGTGTTTAGCACAGGGCTAATTATTCCTGACTGCTGGGCAAGACCCTTTTGAATATACTACCCAATTCCCCATGAATTATGAGTTTGTCAGTCTGGCTGGTGGAACAAGCTGTGTAACTGGCCCTGAGTGAGCAGTGGGCACTGTTCCCTCTGATCTTTTTGAGTGGTTCTTCTTCCTGCCTAAGAATGTTTCCTCACGTACTGTGCTGATCAGTACTCTGGTGAATACTTAAGGAGGGTCCTTTGTAGATCTCTGGACTTCTCTCTCAGTGCAGCTCTGCAGCACACAGTCCTGTCTGGCACTCCTTTACTCTCAGCTCCATCTCCCCATCTCAGGGAATCTGCTGGCTCCTCCTAGATGTCTCCTCTCTGATCTGTTCCTTGGAAACTCTCTCAAGACAGTAAGCTGGGGGCAACTTCAAGGCTCACCTCATTTTCTCTTCTTCTCTCAGAGTCACTGTCCTTCACTGACTTATGTCCAGTACCTTGAAAACTATTGTTTCATATACTTTGTCCAGTTTTTTGCTTGTTTTGGATGGGATGGTGAATTCAGTCCCTGTTATTCCATCATGGTCAGAGAGAATATTTAACTGGATCTCTATTAGTTTTAAAAATGAATGTTGGCCAGCCCTGGCAGCCTAGTGGTTAAGTTTGGTGCATTCCACTTCAGCAGCCCAAGTTCAGTTCTCAGGTGTGGACATATACCACTCGTTGGTGGCCATGCTGTGGCCGCAACCCACATACAAAATAGAGGGCGATTGGCACAGATGTTAGCTTAGGGAGAGTCTTCCACAAGCAAAAAGAGGAAGATTGGCAACAGATGTTAGCTCAGGGCGAATCTTCCTCAGCAAAAAAAAAAAAAAAATCTTATTTGAGTCCAATTTCTTACCAGTATAGCCATGCACCACATAATAATGTGTTGATCAATAAGGGACCACATATACAATGGTTATCCCATAAAATTAGTACCGTACATCCTAGGTGTGTGGTAGGCCGTACCATCTAGGTTTGGGTAAGTACTGTAGGGGAGGAAGAAATTTTCCTGGCTGGTTCTTCTGACTGGTCTAAGAATTAAATTTACATGAGACAGATTAATAGGAGGAAAACAAGTAAAAATTTAATAACATATATACACGAGAGAAACCCAGGAAAACTGAGTAACTCACCAAAATGGCCACAGCCCTCACCTTAAATGCCATCCTCAGCTAATGACAAAAGAAGATGTTTGGCGTGGTCAGAGTCAGAGACTTCAAAGGGAAGGGAGGAAATTCACAGGTAGGTGAAAAGGAGCAGACATTTGGAAAACAAGTGTTTGGCCACACAGAAACAGAAGAACACAGGGGAGCCCACCAAACAGGTTTTTTGCTAGGTTGTTCCCTGTCTACCACGTAGTTCATGTTATGTTGAGGTGATAACTCACTTCCTGAGACAGGTTTATTTATCTGAATTCTTTTAGGCAGTTAGGGAGGTAACAAGAAAAACTTTCTGAGTCTTTCGTTTCTTAAAAATAATCAGCTTAAAATAATCCTCATGTTAAAGAGACACTTTTTGGGGTGGCAAATTTTGTTCGCCTTCTTTACACTCTATGATGTTTGCACAATGACGAAATCACCTAATCATGCATTTCTTAGAACTTATCCCAGTCATTAAGCAGTGCTTAGCAGATGACTGCACAATGCATCGATTATATTTTATACATATTATATAATATTGCTTATATTAATAGGGGATGGCTGAATCACATTAAAATGTTGAAGATAAAACAGTTTACTGTCTTTTGGAAATACTTCTTCAGTATCAGTTCAAGGGAAACTGTTACCACAAGTTTGAGTTATCAAGAATCAGGAAGTTGCATGAGATAAGCACTAGACTTTGAAAAATGTTGTTATGAGTAGGAGACTATATATTTTAGCTATCTGATTGGAGAACATCCTTGTCAGAATTGTCTTGCTGGGTTAATTTGCTGTATTGAGCTTCTTCATCATTTGATATGATGTCAGCTACTAATAGCACAAATATTTTATCGTTAAGTGCTCGCGTGACTTTAGCGTTTTTAATGAGCTTGCTAGCTTTTGCTATAGTGCTGGGAAATGCCGTGGTCATTTTAGCCTTTGTGGTGGACAAAAATCTTAGACATCGAAGTAATTATTTTTTTCTTAACTTGGCCATTTCTGACTTCTTCGTTGGTAAGTTACGTATCTTTATTTAAGATAACCTTTTCCAATTATAATTTATTTCTAAAACTTTAAAATAGGCTTGTTATTTTAAGGGACTGTATGAAATTGGGGATGATAAAAACAAAAAGCTTCAGGATTAAAGTTTCGGGGAGGCTATATGTCACTTTAGGGGAATGTCATACATCTGCAAATCAGATTTGTAGGGGAATTTTGATCTGAAAACAGTTTACTTTCTTTTTATAAAATAAAAATAAGTCCAGAATAGTTCTAAAATTATTTTCATCTAAGAATTAGTTGCTTCTGGAGCTATTTTGCTTATATATTAAGGTTTATAAGTATTTCTCTTTAAGTAAGCATAGTTTCATTTATCACAGTGTTGGGGTAATAGGAAATACTGTAAATGCTGGTAACCAGCACAATCAGAAAATGTGGTATTCAGGTCAATTAAATAGCATGGTTAATAGTATTTTATGATATGGTACAGAATAGTGTAAAATATTAAGCTACCTTGCATATGATATGGTATCATAACGTCATATAATTGTAAGAGATCCTAGAAATCAAATGAATCTTTCTTTGAAAACATGCAGTTTGTAATTTTTTACTGCCTGATGATCATGGTTTTTTAACAATGCTTATCATAATAAGCAAACAGGCAGAAATGTCAGCTGATGATATTGTTTTATAGGAGCTTCTAGTATAATGTAACCTGTCATTGTCTGTAGCTACATAAATGCTTGCATTTATGTTAACATGAAACAAAACTCATAGCATACTTAGTCTATTGCCTGGGACACAGTGGTTGCTCAACACATGTTAGTCCCTTTCCCTTTTGATTTCTCTGCAGATAGGTGTCAATTCAAACCAAAATCACAAATGTTAGTAAAGTCCCTACCATGTGTAAGTACTGTTGGGTACTCAAGCATGATTAGATAATGAGGAAATATATAGAAGACTAAGTCTATCTCTTTCTTCAGTAAGGTTTCAATATAGCAGAGTGGATAGGAGAAGTTCACAAATGGCTATAACAGTATAGAGTGATGTGAGAAGCTTCGCAGACCTACCAAGTGCTGTGGACACTCAGAGGAGGGAGAAGGCGTGTTTGGTTAGTGGGTTCTGGCGCTTGAAATGAACTTCGAAGGATGGGTAGAATTTGCAGAGGCAGAGATGGAGAGGAGAGGAGTATTGCAAGAATTAGCAAAGACACGATGGTAGAAAATCATTGTGTATATCTGCCTAAGTGTGAGCTTCAGGCTGGCTGGTGTGCAGATGGTTATATGGAACAGTAGGGGACGAAGTTGGAGTGGTCAGAATCTGTACCGAGAAGTTCCTTGAATACTAGCGTGAGACTGGCTTGGAGTTCCTTCAGCAGGTAACGTAGAGATTTAAAGATTTTTAAAGTAAGTGAGTGGTTGGATGGATCGAAGCTTTACCGTAGAGGCATCAGAAAAGATGCAGGTGGGAGCAGCAGGAGCATTGTTTCAGGGACAGCCCAGAAGCCATCTAGGCAGAAGTCATGTGCTAAGGCTCTGAGCTAGGGTGAGGGTGGAGAGGAAGTTCAGGCGGCCGGGCTGCAAGAGTGGAGCTGGGCAGGAGAAAGAGAAAAGATGAGCTAGAGATTGAGCCCTGGGGACTAAGTAAAGAACGGCACCGTTCATAGAATTAGGGAGCATTTTGGGAGTGCAGCTTATGCTTTTGATGTAGCATTGATAAAAAAAGTTCTGGAGGAAAGGAAAATTCCAGCTAGAGAAATTGATTAGGATTCACGGCATAGAAATTACAGGGTCACAGATAAAGGCAGCTAACCAATATAGAAGTATTTTTTAAAAAAAAACAGCAATCTTCCCATTTTTCTCCTCAATTCTGCCCCTCCAGGTAACCCACATTAACAACTTCATGTAGATCCTTCCACGTCGTTCTCTATGTGCGCATAAACACATATAAATATACAAGCATATTTAGGTGAAATTGAGAATATTCTGCTGTGAATATGCTTATACCTCTCCTCCTTCTTCACAGAACTGTACAACTTATCCATGACACTCAGCACTTAAAGTTGATTATGTATTTTGACTAACCCAAAGGGAGCGAAGCCCTGAATACCTAGTGGTAGGGAGGGATGGGGTAAAACTCTACCCAACTCAGGAGAGACACTGAGTCCTGAAGCTTTTGAGCCAAGATGGTTCCAGATGAGAACGATGTGTCTCCATGTATGGCCCGATGTCAGCATCATGGCAGCTCCACCATCATGGGCTTAAGCACCACAACATACAGATGTGGTTCGTCTTTGAGAAATGGACCTGTTGATGTAGTTATTCAGGCTCCTGATGGTCCCCCTTCATCACAGGCGGGTGGGCAAAGACATGGCTTTGCTCAGGAGAAGACCTGTCAGACACAGGTCAGGATCCCTATTAATCTGCCAGTCTCATCCTTCACATTTCCCCTGCCCTTGCCAGCTTCATCCAGAGGACCACTTATTTAACACAATATTTGCCACGACGACACCAGAATTAGGAGAGTCTCCGAGAGCTTTTTGTGAGAAGATTTGAGTTTTGTGTCAATACTGTTCTTTCTCCTTTGCCATGCTTGGAAGTGTCTCTTTTGCCTCTGAGCCCGGAGGACTTCCTGGCAGTGGTGGCAGGCCAGGGCAGAGCTCGTGAGAGATTTTCCATAGCTGTAAGCCAGTGATACTCAATATTTGGGATCACGAGACTTGGGGCCTCAGAACCACGTGATGATGGCAGGGCAGTTAGGAGCATCCCTTGTGCTCAGTACTGTGGGCTTTCTGGCCGAATGCCCTCTTATTACAGGTTTCAGAGCTGGCTTCTTGTCGAGAATCTAAATTTGTGGGACCTGAGTAACTTCCCAGGCTGAATTTAGTGTTGAAAAGCAAAGACTTATTAAGGAAAAATTCCAGTGCCACCTACATTGATATAAATATATCTCATTTGTACACTATTTCAGGACAAAATACACTATCTATATCTATAAAATTGGTGTCACGTGACCAACGTTTCCATCTCTGGTACCTTCCTCACATCTACATGCTGTGTGGGCATTTACGGCCTGGATGACCTTGTGACAGATGGTCCAGACAGGATCTTCAAGGGCAAAAGGTGGTTGCTGCTAACAGTGCCTGAACCACGTTTTCAGGATGGCAAAGTTTAGCTTTAGTACCTTCATGCCCCACCTCAGGACTCTTCTCTTTCCCTCTGTATTAGTCAGTCAGCTCTGGCTGCCACAACAAGATACCACAGATCAGGTGATTTAAACGACAGCAGTTTACTTTCTCACAGTTCTGGAGGCTGCCAAGTCCCAGATCAAGGTGCTGTGCTGGGTGATTTGGTTCCCGGGTCCCTTTGTGGTTTATAGATGGCCGCTTTCTTGCTGAGCCCTCACATGGCTTTTCCTCTGAGTGTGCTCAGAGAGAGAGCTGGTGAGCTCTCTGGTGTCCCTTCCCTCATGGGAATGACCTCATGGTCCTACCCTCATGACTTCATTTAACTTTAATTACCTCCTTATAGGCTTTATCTCCAAATACAGCCACACTGGGGGTTAGGACTTCAACCCAAGAATTTTGGGAAAGGGCACAAACATTTAGTCCATAACACTCTCTGTGCACTCACTGTCATCCACACATCCCTCTGTCGGCCCAAAGAACTCACTGGGGCTTTCAGCTCTCCCCATCTTTTGACTGCCGGTTTCTCATGGAGGGTATAGCTTCTTAGCTGGCTTTGGAAAGAAGAGGCCATACCAGATAGTGGCAATTTTAAAGGAAACTGGGTTCCCTGTCCTCATCTACTCATTCATCCAATAATGGTTTATTCTGAACCAGTCACTCTTTGAGGTCCTGGGGATATAGCAGTGACAATACAGACAAAAATCCAAGCCCTCATGGTTCTTTTCTTTCCACTGGGAGCGGGAGTGGGGAGACAGACAATAAACAATAAAAATAAGTAAATGAAATTATATGGCATTTTAAAGAGTGATCATTGTTATTGAGAAAAACATATCAGGGATGAGGGAGAGGAAGTGTGTTGGAGGAGGGGGTTGCAATTTTAAACTTTGGAGGTGGGACTCACTGAGAAAGATACGTTTGAGCAAACAGAAGGAGCTCTCTGGGGGAAGAGAATTTCATGCCCAGGACCAAGGGCAAGATCGGAGGGGGCAGGGTGGACAGTGTATCTGAGGCCATAGGGACTGGAGTGGAGTGAGTGAGGGGTGGAAGGAGGAGCAGGGGCTGAGACCTGGGAGGTGGGGGGCAGGCTGGGGTGGGCAAGTCGCCTAGGGTCTCACAGGGCACTTCTCACCCTCATTCCTTTCCTTCTCTCCTCCCCTTGTTCCTTCACCTCTTTTTTTTGTTCTTCACCACCTTTTAATATAGTCTGCTTTCTCTCACTTTTTACCCCCATTGATCAGTCATGCCAAAGGCTGCCTCCTAGTTTTACTCATCAAGTCCACTTGATCCAGAAGCATGATTCCAGAGTGGAAGTTGTAGAAACTTAGGCGTGAAAGTATCCTAGAAATATTTCAAACTCACGATTTTTGAAACTCCTTTGGAATGAGCCACAAACATTTCCACCATGCAACAAGACAGAAGAACTGAGCATGATGTTTGTACTAAAATGTCACGTAGAACACAAGGTGACAGCAGGGTTTCATTAAAACCAAAGGAATAGGGGCCAACCTCACGACCTAGTGGTTAAGTTTGGCCTGCTCTGCTTTGACAGCCCAGGTTCCTGGGTTTGGATCCCAGGTGCAGACCTACACCACTCATCAGCCATGCTGTGGTGGTGACCCACATGCAAAATAGAGGAAGACTGGCAAGATGTTAGCCCAGGGCTGATCTTCCTCAAGCAAAAACAAGGGGAGGATTGGCAACACATCAGGGCCAGCCTTCCTCAGCAAAAAAGAAAAATAAAAAGGAATAGACTAGAGCCGGTTTTAAGCTAACTGCTATTTCAAGCAGCTCTTAAGATTTTGAAAACACCCTTCAGGAAGTAGGTAGAAAAGATGATTTTACTCACTTCCCTCCCTTTAACCTTTAAGTCAGTGCTGTTTGTAATGCAAACAATTACTGGCATCACACTCTTGTTTCTCATTCTGTGGAGAAAATGAGCGTGTGTGTGGAAAAATACGTTGGGAACACTGGAAGCCACAACTCTTGGCCAAAATATAATAAATGTCTCTATTCATAAGATACTTTGATTGACCTCAGGCAAACCTCATGGCCTATTTTATACTGTGGGTGTGTGCCCATGCACACACGCACACACCTTTGAGATGGAAGGCACCATAAAGAAGCTTAGTTATTATTAAAAATAAAGTTGAAACATAAAACAAGCAGGGAGTTTGAACTGCACGTAAGAATGGACTACATCGTTGCGATGGTGATTTGCCTCTTGTGTTTGTCTGTGAGCCTTGGTACAAAGGGCTGCGTTCACTTTCACTAGTCCTGAAACCGCATCATTATATCCTCATGTCATAGGGTGTGGGGAGGGCACAGGGTTCCCTCCTTCCTTCCTTTCTCTTTCTTTTACCTTCACTGTTGTTCTTCATGAGAGACTAACTTAGTTCTCATATGAAAAATGGGAATTCCTGCCAAGTGCCTGATAAAATATGAAGATACTCAAGAAAATAAGATTTCAGTTAAGCTTCCGCTTAGTAGATTATGTTCCCAGTGAGTAGTGCCACCTGTCTGAAATATCAATGCAATTAAAAACCCCTGCAAAGCTAAAGGAGAGGAGCCCAGTGTAGTCATTTTTCACAGGTATGCAGTTTCTCTGCTGAGTTGAATCACTTACGTATTTGTTCATTTAGTGAAGGGTAGCGGTTAAAGTCAGGGGTTCTGAAGTCACATTGCCTGGTTTCAAATCTAATCTTTCACCAACTAGCTGAGTGGACATTGGGCTAATTATCTCTCTTTCTCTCTCTCTTTTTTTTTTTGCTGAGGAAGATTTTCCCTGACATAACATCGTGCCAGTCTTCCTCTACTTTTTAGGATGTGGGCCACCAGCACAGCATGACTGCTGAGAGCAGTGTAGGACCATGCCTGGGAACCGAACCTGGGCCTGAAGTGGAACAAGCTGAACTTAACCACTAGGCCACTGTGGCTGGCCCTAATTATGTCTCTTTTTTGAGCTTCAGCTTCTTTATCTGCTCACTTAGCATAATCCCCATCTCACAAAGTTTCTATGAGGCTAAATGAGATGATATATGTAACACATTATACAATCGAGTATAATGTGTATAATTGTGGCCAGCCCTGGTGGCCTAGTAGTTAAGATTTGCTACTCTCAGCTGCCACAGCCAAGAGTTCATTTCTGGTCAGGGAACCACACCACCCATCTGTCAGCTGTCATACTGTGGCAGCTGTGTGTTGTTGTGATGCTGAAAGAAATGCCACTGGTATTTCAAATGTAAGCAGGGTCACGCATAGTGTAAAGGTTTCAGTGGAGCTTCCAGACTAAGACAGACCAAGAAGGACCTGGTCACCCACTTCTGAAAAAATTCGCCATGAAAACCCTATGAACAGCAGTGGAGTATTATCTGCTGGAAGGTGAGAAGATGGCCCAAAAGACTGGGTAGGGTTCTGCTCTGCTGTACACAGGGTCGCTAGGAATCAGAATCCATCAACAGCACTAACAACAAATATGTAACACACATAGCACAACACCTAGCATATGGTAACCACACAACACATATTAGCTGTTATGAATTCATTTAAGTTAAATGTGCAAGTCATTGGTCAACTCTAGATGTTGTGAGAAATGCAAAGATTGACTTACACTGTGGTCCCAATCCTTGGGAGAAACAAGTTAAAAGATGATGAAGATATAAAGTAGAATGTATTTGTACATGAGAGAGGGAGAGAGGAGTAAAGTGCCAGGAGAGTGCAGATGACAGAGGAGGAGTCACTTCTGCCAAAGAATTCCAAGAAATATGACAAGGAAGTCATTCTTTGAGCTGAGTGAAAAATGAGAAGGAAGTAAATAGACTTATCTGTAGAAAAGGGGAGGACATTCTGGGGAAGAAAGAATGATGTTGGCAAAGGCAAAGAGCTGTGAAAATGTGGGATGAGTTTAGGGGAAGGGTGACCCATCCTATTTGGGTGGATCGAGAATATAAACATGGTCTGTGTGTATATGGTTGGAAATACAGGTTGAGACTTGAACTTAATTTGGAAAGTAATGAGGAGCCATTGAAGGTACTCTGTTCATGACAGCTGTTATAAAATGGTATTTAAAGAGTGTGTAGAGAATCTTTCCCGAGTTTGTTGATGAAATACCATGAATTTCTAAATTATAATCAAGCCATTTTTGGTCAATTCAGATACATCATTGTGTTGTGTACCTATGCCTCTTTGTATTCATTGACATGTTTTTTTTTACCCTTATTTTTTCGCTGTACAGGTATGATCTCCATTCCTTTGTACATCCCTTACAAGATGTTTGATTGGAAGTTTGGAACTAAAATCTGTGCATTTTGGCTCATTATTGACTATCTTTTGTGTACAGCATCTGTATATAACATTGTACTCATCAGCTATGATCGATACCAGTCAGTCTCGAATGCTGTAAGTCAAAACATTCATTTATCTTCCTTAGAAGATTGTATCCTTGTAAATTTTGCATCTCCAAGCAAACTTTTTTTTAAGTATGTTTTGTTTTCTTGACAAACAAACCTTAGAGGAACCTGATTATCTTTTTGTTATCAGACACAAAGTTCTCATTGGCCCTTAGTGAACATTTTCTGTGTGTAATTTGGATGAGTCATTCCCATATGTACCACTAAAATGGAAATACAAGCTGAGCTGTCAGAAATGGTACACTGAGTCCACAGTAGGTCAGATATGCACGAGGTTCACAGGAGGTTTATCAGTTCTGCTCCTTAGACAAATTGAGACATGATGATTTTCCTCAGGATGGAACTTGGTGGGCAAGTAGGAGGAAAGGCTCCCAGACTTTGAATGTCGTGAGAAAATCAATTTTGAACAGTCAAAGGAAAAGACAGTATATAGGGAAGCTACAGGTTATACAGTGGGACCAACCAGAAAGATCAAGTCCTGGTCTGAGTTTAGGACCCACGCAAGAAAGTCTGAACTTACCTTGGAGTAGCCTCTTGACAAGTTAGTGACAATTCTTAAGCGAGCTAAAGTTTTCAGCGTTAGAACAAAAGAGAAAACAAGATTGACGTAAGAAAGGACAAGGGTAAAAGCAGGCCCTAGAAATGTGGGGCCGTGATCTGAAATGGTTGAGACCTAGATGGGAAACTCCCCCACTTCTGAGTCCCAGGGACGCCCATCTTTGGGGAATGACTGCGTGACAGGGCTTTTGCTAAGTGCTGGGATACAGAAATGGATCCGCAGAGTCTCCATTTTTGAGGAGCATCATAGTCTAATGTGGAGAGAGATCCCTACACACAGAGGTCCAGTACAATGGACTAAGTGATGTGCTGGAGTTGTTGAGAGGACAGTGGCAGCTCTGGCCTGGGAGGGCTGTGCTGCCTGGAGGCGGACAGGATTGGGAAGATGGATTAGCTAAGGCAAGGAGAAACAGCTGTAACAGAGATGCCAAAATGCCGAGGCTCAAACAAGATAGAAGTTTATTTTTCTCTCACAGGACAGTCCAGGAAAGATGGAACGCTCTGCTCCAGGGACTGAGGCTAACGGGGTGGCTCTGCATCCTCCAGGCCAGAGATCAGCCAACTTTTACTATAAAGGGCTAGATAGTAAATATTTTTGGCTTTGCAGGAAACTACAGTCTCTATTGTAACTGCTTAAATCTGCTGTTATAGCACAAAACCAGTCATAGATAATATGTTAAAAAAAAACAGGACTTCGCTGTGTTCCAATAACACTTTATTTGTCCAGCCACGTGGGCCACATTTGTTCCATGGACAGTAGTTTGCTGACCTTTGTTCTAGGTCGTTATTCTCCTCTGCAAGGTCAAAGTCAGATTGTTATCACTCCAGGTTCTAGAGACAAAGTGCAAAGGACAGAAGTTCAGGGCAAAGGATTTTCTTTTAACCAAGAAGTGCAGAATCACACAATGATTCCCACCCACGTTTTATTGGCGAAGTTTAGTCACTTGGTCCTACCTTGCTGTGAGGGAAGCTGGGAAACATGGTCTCTAGCTGAGCCACCATGCAGCCAGGAAGAAGGGGAGAAGGGATGTGGCGGGACAGCCAGCCATCTCCACCATGTGGTATTGGGTACTTCACTGGCATCTGAGGCCATTGCAGTTTGTACTGGACAAACTACGGAGAGAGTAGAGATCAGTTTGGATTAGCAGTTCAGAGGCTTATAATCTCTTGTTTTTCAAACTGGAGGTTTTGACCCATTATCGAATCACGAAATCAGTTTAGTGGTTTGTGACTAGTCACTTTTTTTTTTTCATGAAAAAATATGGAAAGGAGCAGAATAGAACAGAGCCAAAAAATTAGAGTATCAAACATCACAGTACCTTGCACATAATAAAGGTAAGTATTGTTTTATGAATACTTTTGTCCATATACTTCTTTATGATCTAAAAAGTATTTCTTACTTTAGGTCACAGTCAAAATATTTGAAAGACGCTTCACTAATTCAGAATATTTCCCAGTTTTACTTAAAAATTTTCCTTTCTTTCTGGGTTAATATTTCTTTTTAATCTTCACTGGATGTCCCTAGGGCTTCATTCACTGAATGTCCAAGCTCTTGCATCTACCTGAGGTTTGTGGGAAGGTAAGAGAGAGCCTCCCCAGGTAGAAAAAGTGCTTAGAAGTTACAGAAAGATGAGCAGTGATGTCCAGAGAGAAAATGGGTGGGATTATTGCCTGGTCTCGCCCTGAGGAATTTCCCCCTGCAAAGACCTTATTTGCAAATGAGGTCACATTCATAGGTACTCTGTATTATGACTTCAACATGTCTTTTTGGGGGATACAATTCTACCCACAAAAAAGGCATTTAGAATGGCTCTGCGATCCCATCTCATTAACACCAGCAAGTTCCTGCACCTGCTCTGCTTCACAAAAGAAACTTGACTGAAGAATGTTTGGGTATCTTATTGGGGTATGGAAGGAAGTAGGGTAAGAGGATGGACATGTTCTGTAGTGGGTGGGAACTGGGCCACAGATTGATTCAACGAGGCCACTCCAACTGGTCTGGATGCAAGCAATGTTTGAGCTTTCTATCTGTTAAAAATGCTACGCAGAGAAGAAGAGATTAGCATCATCTCAATTCCCTTGCATGTTCATCATCCCATTTGACCTTACGCATAATAGAAAAGAGATCACTTTCCAGCATATTGCATCATATCATTACAAAGGCTGAACAGAGCAATTAAAAAACTAAATGCAGTTTCATGACCATCTGGGTATTGTTACCATCTTCATAATCATTAGATTTAGTGCAAGAGATGTATTAATTAGAGGCGTGAGAAGTAGAAGGCAAAAAAGCATATTGTATAGGGGAGCTTTTGGTCAGCACCATGTGCATTTTAGCTTAGCCTCAGAAATACCAGTAGTTTTGGAAAAAAAACCCCACTTCCTTGGAGTTTTAAAAATAACTTAGTTTTTTTAAAAACCAACTTCCTTCTTACCTCTAGCCATTTGGTGAGCCCTTCCCATTATGTACAACCCATCACAGAAAGACAGTGCTGGATAACGTTACGCCCTTTTAATAAAAATGAGAAAATGTTGTAGAAAAAGACTTAAAAACTCACAGAGAAAATAGTACATGAGAGATGGTGGAAAGCGAGGCATGTTCCAATTTCATGGATAGACCATTTCCTTTCAAAAAAATCAGAGAAACATGGAACATTTGAGCTAGAAGAAATCTTGCTGATCAAAAAGAGGTTCAGAGAGGTTGCCTGTTCCAGGTCCCCTTAAAAAATTCTTAGTTCATACCTTCACCCTGCATACAGGCTGGTTAGTCTTGGGCATCTTTAGATTTCTTATAGAAGATATTCCTAAAGATTTCAGGATCTCTCAAATATCATGGGTTGTGTGATCTAAGAGCAATCTTCGGTCATAGAATCTTCTTTTGCCTTATAGAAGACTATCCTTAGGACCAAGTGGAGCTAGAACATTCTCTGCCCTTACAAAAAGACTGTGGCATTCACCACAGCCATGTCTCTCAAAGTGGCTGGATTTGCACCATTTTTTTCCGGTAGAAACATTTGTAGAAAGAAAGGATTTGGTAATGCTCAATAGCACTGTAGTCTTTCTCCATAGTTGGTTTAAACTTCTTTCTTTTTGTGCTTCATCTTTTGGGAATAATGTAAGTGTTCTTCTTTCTCTTTTTGACCTCACCTTGAAGTCTCAGCATAAACGGCAGAGTAGATTCTTCCTGAATATTGGAATCAGAAAAGCCAGTGGCTTTAAAACTTTTTTGACTGTGACTAGAGTGAGAAATGAATTTTACACTGTGATTCAGTACTCACATTTCTTCTTCTCTATGTATATCGATATTCCCAAAGCAAAAGTTTCGTCAAACAATATATACCCTTATGATGTGTGATGCATTCTGACATTGACTATTCCATTTCGTTAAAAAAAAAATGCTGCTCATGACCCACCAGCAGACTGAGAAACACTGTGAAAATGTGCACCCAGTTTCAGTTGTTTCACGGTTCAGATTAGTGTCTGTGGTCTAGGAAAGATTGCTTTCGTATTTTAGATAGTGACCTTGACATTTTCTATAGGGTCAGAGGTTTAACTTTGAAGGTTACAGTCTTCCCCTTGAAAGCCACTAAGAAAGTCTACATCTTGGCCCAGGCTCCACTGAAATTGAACCCTCTGTCCTGGCCCACATCATGTTACCCAGGCCCAGTTAAAGTCCCCACCTCTTGCATATCCTTGAAACTCCTGCAGGCTTATGGTTTGTGCAATCAACATACGTTCATTATATCGAAATTTATTTGATCTCTTTTAGATATCTTACAGAACTCAACACACTGGGATCTTGAAGATTGTGGCCCAGATGGTGGCCGTCTGGGTGTTGGCCTTCTTAGTGCATGGCCCAGTAATTCTAGTTTCAGAGTCTTGGAAGGAGACGGAGAAAGGTTGTGAACCTGGATTCTTTTCACAATGGTATATCCTTGTCATCACATCATTCTTGGAATTCTTGGTTCCGGTCTTCTCAGTGGCTTATTTCAACATGTATATTTACTGGAGACTATGGAAGCGTGGCAATCTCAGCAGGGGACCAAGCCACCCTGGAATCGCTTCTTCTGTCTCTTCCAGTAACTGTGGATGCTCATGCAAGTGTAGACTATTTTCAAGCACATCTCTTCCTGAAGTGAAGGAAGCAGGGGAAGCAGCGGCACCCCTTCATTCCAAGAAACAGGGAAGGAAGAACAGTCTCTTTTTTTCTTTAAGAACCCAGAATAGTAATATAATTGCTTCCAAAATGTGTTCCCTCTCCCCATCAGATTCCCTACTTCTTCGCCAAAAGGAACAGCTTGAACTGCTCAAAGCCAGGAAATTAGCCAAGTCACTGGCCATTCTCTTAGCTGTTTTTGTGGTTTGCTGGGCTCCTTATTCTCTGTTCACAATTGTTCATTCAACTTACCCCTCAGATCAGCGTCCTGCAACAATTTGGTACGAAATCGCATTTTGGCTTCAGTGGTTCAATTCCTTTATCAATCCTTTTTTGTATCCATTATGTCACAAGAGTTTTCAGAGGGCTTTCTTGAAACTATTTTGTAGGAAAAAGCAACCCATATCATCATACAATCAGTCAATGTCCTCTCAAAGATAATTTTATTTCTTACATAAATTTTAGTCTTAATCTCAACAAAATGAATTTGATCGGGCTTTCATCTTGTACATTCCATTCTACCAAAAAAGTTCATAAAATCATAACACTTGAAAACTTAAAAAAAGAGGAACCTGAAAGTCAATGGAAAATTATTCCAGTGCATAATAACAGTATAATTATAAATTGACAATATAACATTTTTATAAACTCATAGCCACAAAAGCACTGCATTTTCCTTCATCATCACCTCTTCCTTCCTCCTCCTGTACATCTTGATATAACAATGATTGTGAAAGTCAAAAGTTTTTGTTTTCTTTCTATATTCAGTGTTTGCTACAGTCTTAAGTGAATTTTCCTTTTTATTTTATAGTGATGAAAACTTGTCAAGTTTTAAAATCATTCCCTAAAGTACACAATAGAAAAAGAGCTATATTACCCTCTTTTCTGGGGGTGGACAACTCTGTTATGATCAATGGGCAGGTGAGTTGGGGTTTGAGCTGGCAGGAGCAGGGAGTGAGGTGCTCAGGAGGAAGAGTGGAGTGTACTTCCGGACTCTATGTTCTTGATCCCAGAAGAGAAGGAAGTGTGGGATGGTGGAGGAAAGAGCAGGTCACCGAGGTCTCAGAGTTCCTCAGTGAAGTCATCTCCGAGGCCCAGCAATCTAGGGACAGGCAACTGTCACCAGTGGGTTTCCCTATTTCTTCCTGCCCCCTTCTCCCAACTTCCACATCAGCTCAAACTCCTCTGTGAGAAAATATGGAAGAAAGAGAAAGGCTAAGAAATGGTGAAAGGACTGTATGATTAAACCAGATGTACCTGGTAGAACAGTCACAGAACTAGTAGCTGTCAATAATTATTAATAAAATATTGCTGTATTTATGTGATGTCTCTAACTCGTGTGTGTAGCATTTTACACTTCAGCACTCAGAGTGATTCTTTATTCTGAAGTTAGAATAGGTTATACCTTACTGACAAGTCACATTTTATTAGCGTTATGGCATTTTATTCTTTTTGTCATTATTAATTTTTTTTCCCCCAGTGTTCTTTGCCTGTCTTTGTCATAACATCTCATTTTGGCCTCCTAGTTAATTTCATTTCTCCTATAAGGTTTTATTGGTGTTTCTTCTACATAGTTTAGTCATTTTCATGTTTCTTAGGCCTTTTAAACCTTTGGTTAATTCCAAACACTAAAATATGAAAGTCTTTTAAGTATAAGTGCTTAGAAATGCACAGAAATTTTATATACTCTTATCCCTTACATTAAGTTCAAAATAGGAAATACATGTTAAACATTCAATAGTAATTTGAAAAATTTGAGAATTAAACCCTCATAAATGCAGAAGTTTTTGTAAAGTGGTTACTTGTCAGCTGTTGGCTTTGAAATTTATAAATTAGTTGTGAATTTCCTCTGATCCCTGGAGCTTTGAATGATCTTTGAATGGAGCGGCCCCATGAAAACTGTTCCCAATTGAACCTCGCAGGAAACACACCTAAATATTCATATGTATTTTCTAAAATACAGAAAATGCAGTACATATTGTATTTTACTCAATCTAAGATGTTGTCAGTGTAAGACATACCATATTTCATTTACCACTATAAAAGAGAAAATGCTGCAGATTGTCTCTGACAGAGTGCGTAATAAATCTCATTGATGGTAAGTTCCATTCTTGTTTCAGAGGTGTTGAAAAATGAGCAATGTGTGTCTTAGAAGTGATGAAATATGATACACGTATGATAAATGAACAGAACAGGGCTAATCCTCTATGGAATGAGAGTTTGCATAATAAATACTTTTGATTGTACATTCATATGTTCATTAAACAAATGTTTATTTAGAGTTCATCATGTATTAGCTACTTAATGTAAAGATGTCTGTGCACCTTGCCAATAAGATTTAGATTCCCTGGGCAGGAATTTTACTTTGGGGTTCTCTTAGTACAACGCACCCATAGGTGCTCAGTAGACACTTATTGAAAAAGCATGCATTAGGCATTTTCCTTAAAAATGGAATGGAAATCCTAGTTTTTAAATACAAGTCTTTTAAATGTGCACTGGAGGAGCTTTAAAATATGTTTTTTGTTATAATAAAAATAATATGTACTTATCATAAAAAGAAAAGATAATAACAAAACAATTCCTAAACCTAAGAAGCAGCCATAATGATTAGTTTGGTGTAGATGTTTCTAGAGAAAAAAATAATATAATCCCATTTTCTGGGAATTCATTTTTGTATATCTAAACTTCTTGAGATACCCTCATATGAATCCTTTCAAAAAATGAAAGCTCCTGTTCCAGTATGAGTAATTACCATCCCTCTGCCCCAAATATACCTGGTGTATAAATACTTACTAAATTTTAAATAAAAAATATTTAATTTTAAATTAAATATTTTAAATAAATATTTTTAAAAATTGTAAATACTTATTAGCTCATCTTAAACCGAAACCCAACTCCACTGACGTAGTTGGAAGAACGTCCCTAAGAATGTTGATTCCTAAGTGTTGGCTTCAGTTGGCCTGTACAGAAATCGATTGGAGAAGAGTGAAGACAGATTTAGGGATATAAATGCTGATTATGAACACGTTAGGCATGGTCTTTTTAGGAGTCATGAAGGCTTTAAAAATAAATAACTGAGCAATCACAATAACTCAGCAGTGGGTCAGCCCTATAGCTGGTGAGTTCACTATAAATTTCATAACAGAGATTCAAAGCTGGTGGTTCATGGATGTTTCTGGTCTATATGATGAGCTGATTTTGTTGTTATTATTTACAAATTGGGGAATTTAACATTAAATTGAGATTTTCAGGTTTTTAAAAGAGATTGGAAGATCCAGCAACATGGAGCCCACATTCCCTCAAGAAAACAGTTTGTTGAATCTGAGTCTAGCTGCGTCTTGTAGACAGGGAGCTAGCCTTTCGTCCTCCACAGTTCCACTTTCCTTCATTTAGTCACTTTCCTTCACCTGTCTGTTCCCTTTAGGCATCCGAACTGCAACCCCTGCTCCATATGCAAAAAGAAAAAGTGTTCATGAAACCATTCTAATGAGTATCCCGGAAAGTACAAACAATGCCTTTTCTGTGGGAAATTTTATGCTCAGGAGGCAATTTCAGTTAGGATTCCTTTGGTTACAAGTGACAGAAACACGATTTGAACCACCTGGGCAAAATGACCGTGTTAATTCCATTACCAAAGTGCGTAGAGACCATGATGGGAAATGCCCCAGGGATGACTGAAGGCAGAGACTTTGTGACAACTTTATTTTATACTGTGACAAGGCTGGGATGACAGATGCTCTCATCCTTTCTGATCAGATATGAAAAGGGCCTCTCCTAGTAACAGTGAGAAAAAAAATCCTGGAAAAGATCAATCGAATGCCCAATCAGTAGCTTGTGTGGCTATCCTGGGACCAATCCCTACAGGAGAGATTGGATACTTGTGCCCACTTGGGTCAGTTCCCCTTCAGACTGGTCTCTGTGGCCGGGAGGCAGGATCAACCCCATTCGAACCGTGTGACCAGAAGAGGGAGGAACAGTTTCTTCAAATGAAACAAGGTACAGTTACCAGAAGAAGGGGGTAGAGATAATAAATATCTACTCCAAGGGGTGTTCAAAAATTGGGGACATCATGAAGATCTAATTATCTTCCTCATGCATTGTGTAAGACCGCCCAAATGGCCACATTTCTTCCCCCTTCCTTTGCAATATGACTTTGTAGTTCTCATCAAGAGGGATGTGCTTTGGTCAATAAACTGCTGCCAATAGGCCGCAAGGGTGACACCATGTCAGTGTCCAGCCTAGGTCTCAAGAGGCCCATGCACATCTGTTCTCTCTCTTAGAAACTTGCTCAGCTGCCAGGTGAACATGCCCAGCCTAGCCTGCTGGAGGATGAGAGAGCACCTGGAGCAGAATGGAGCTGTGAGAGCTGAGCCTGTGTTAGAGCAGCCAGCTTCTATCTGACTCAGCAGCTGACTGGAGACGCATGGGCAAATACAGGCTAAGCAAGGCCAGCTGAAAGAGACCTAGCACGGTGCAAACCAGAATAACCACTCAGCCCACCCAGAGACTTCTGAGCGATGCTAGGACTCTGCATTTTGGGAGTGGTTTGTTATTCAGCAACAGCTAACTGACATGGCAAGCGCCTACCCTCCTGCGTGTCAAACTGCCTCTGAAAGTTGAGGACAAGAGAGACAGAGATATTTACAGCACTGGTTCTTTTGTGGGAGCTGAGACAAAAGATATAAACAGTACTATGCAATTGGACAGACGATTGATTTTGAAGTATCACAAGCTACACAACATAACAATAGTAGGATAGATGCACCCATGAGGGTAAAGCTGCACTGTGGGGATGGGAGAGAAAGGGCAGCACAGGTGACAACAGGCTGTTCTGGGGCTCTGTGCATCTCTCTCTTAATTGCCTCCTTCGGTCTCTTCAAGTTTCCATCTTAAGTCAGATACTGAAACCTAAGGACTGACTATGCACTTTGTATTAAATGGTCTTTTTTGGTTGCTTTTCTTCTTGCTCGTACCTATAGTCATTTCCTAATATGCTTAAACTTCTGCTAGGGAATGAGAGGAGAAGGGAGAGGACTTCAAATAGAACCAGCCACTTTGATCCACGATGTAAAATGATTAGTGGAAGAAGCGGAAGTTACCTCGCATTTCAGATTTCAATACTGACTTTCTCTGCTCTCTTGCCAACGGTCAAAAAGAGTTCACCATAAAAGAAAATATCCTGCAAGAAAAGTTCAGGTAACTGGTAGTGAACCAGAAGCTAATCCGCTAGGGTTTTATCAGAGCCTAACTGACCTGGGGGAAGGGAAATACCCAACCCCCTTCCACTCCAGCCATCCTGACCCAAGTAAGTGGGGAAAACCAGAAACACTTGTGAAGTTCAGAGGCAGGAGCTCACTGAAAGACTGAGATCTAATCACGGGACTAGTGGATGCTTCCCCTCCCCCACACTTACCACCACACGGCTAAAGATATATTTACAG